ATAATATTTTTAGATAATCAAAGTCCAGCTACCAATAAAACACAAAGATCCAATAAAAGACAAAAAAATAATATCGCAAATCCTATTGTAAGTTTAGATGTAAAAAAAAATTAAATTAATAAATATAGTAACAAAAAAAAAAACCGAATATTAACAATATATCTATAATAAGATACTGTCTAATGAATCATTACTTCAACCAAGTCAAACAAATCAAAGCGATAAAGAACAAAGTAATAAAGAACAAAGTAATAATAATATTGCAATTATCACGCATCATGAAAAGAATAATAATATTATAGATTCTTCTTCAGATAATGAACCTGATGATAATGCATCTCTAGATTCTTTTTTGCTTATGAAAATGATAGTACTAGCACACAATGTCCAACTTCTTCATCGATACACAATTATAATAATTTTACTACATCTTTACTGATGCATGATGCTGATAATATTAATACGCCTCTTTTGCCAACAAACAATGATGATATTACTATATTTCAAGTTTCTCCCTCAAGTATATATTAATAAAAAGCAACTATTATAACAAATAATTCTGATATTTTTTGATTTATTAGCAGATAATCTAACTTTGAAACAGCCGACACAATTTCAACAATTTAATAATAAGTTTGAAATTACTTGGTGGTTGGCACACCAAAAAAGAATTTTAGATTTAGCAACTAATATTAGAAAAGTGAAGTTGACAAGAGTAGATGAAGAGGATAATTCAACTTCAACATCTACTGATATTATATTAAATAAACCTATATCAAAACTTCCTAAAATTGATCAAGTAAGATATAGCATTTTTTTTTTTTATTATATAAAACTATATAATAATTCTACTAACTTTTAATTTAAATTTAATATATTAAATTTCAATTACAGGAAGAATATAAAGCTCTATTTCTCTGAACTTGAAATAATACTACAGTATTATACAAAGAATTAATTACAAAAGTTAGCAAAATTTCAAAAACTGATCAAAGATTAGGATCTTTGGTTAAAGATATTGGTGAATAGTATAATTCATATCGGTACAAATTTCATATTGCATTAATAAACTTGGCAAATAAATTTAGATCAACTAATGAAAGGTTCATAATAACAACATAATAAATAATAATAATTGTTCTTTTATACTAATCAAATAAATTAATAAATAGTGCAAAGAAACCATATGATGAATTGGATAAATTTGTTTCTGATGAAGTATAGAAGCAATTATTAAAAATGCATATACTCGCGACTGATCAAACGAAATTAAAACAAGATCATGAAACTTATATAAAACTTAGTGTTTTTGTATGCCAAATTACTAAAGCTATTCTTATTGCTCAAAATAAAAACAAGAATACGCAAAATATTATTAGAAAGCATGATGAATATACTATTAATTTGAAAATACTAACTAAACTTGAAGTAGTAGAATCATTACCAGTTCGAGAGCTCTTGGACTGTTAAATATGCTATTTCTATAAAAGGTGTCATCTTTGATATACTCTTTTAAAGTAAATTAATATTATATTTTCTTATATATTTTATGCTTAAAAAAAATA